TTTTCTTAATTAATTACTTAAGGTAGGTCCATTATTTTTGTAGGATAAAGTTTATTAATCCTAATTACATTATCAAACCAAAAGGAATTACGGGGGCCACTTCGTTCACACCTACATAGCTAGAATACAAATTAATTGTGTTAAAAATCACAACGACCCTACATAAATTACAAGAGCATAACTTGATTACGTAAAGAAGAGTAGACATTCAAACCTTTTCTAATTGTCGTGATCAGTATATAAGCATTAGTTTTTTTTCCCTCTGGATATATAAGCATTGGTTGACAATATAAAAAGATATAAACCTTGTCCTTAAATTACAAAAAACAATTTCGACGCCAACTATTATAAATTAAATTCCAATACGTCGGCAATAAGGTTTTACAACTTGGCTAGCTGCCCTTCTTCTTGTTATCAGTTTTTTCCTTGCTTTTTGTGCTATTTATTCTTTTACTAAAAAGGAAAAATGTTTTTACTTCACATGCATGGACAGGACTCTAGCAAGTTTTCCAAGACTCCAAAATATATATGACGCAACCTTGGTGTTTTGTTTCACTTGTAAAATTGGGTATATTCTCTGCCGGCGGCAAGATTTTTGAGCTAAGAATTGTGGAAAAAACTATAGGGGTTTGTTTTAAAAACGGAAAAGGTCTAAAAATGTCACCCAACTAACATAAATAGTCTATCTATGCCATCCGTTAAAAGGTCGCCCTATTCATGCTAACGTTATACTTTTGGCCTATTTATGCCATTGTCTACTAACAGTTCCATTTTCTTATTTTTAATAATAAGAATTAATTTTCGACCCCACCTTTGCCACATGCCTTTATATTACTGGTTCTTCTTTACTTGACCCTACATTTCTTTTAACCCTGATTATGTATAATTAACCATGCCCAACCCGATAAAATCCAACCATCTTTTAACCCAACCCCTAATTCCTTGTCACGGCCCAAAATCCAACTAGTCGTGATGGCACCTAACCCAACCCGCTAGGTAAGCCAATTAACAACTATCCAATTTAATGAGATTTTTTTAGACAAATAAATGATAAAATAACTGAACCTTAATACTTTTCCCAAGGGCCGGTAATACAAATCATGAGATTCTAAGATTTTTACAAACTAAATTGAAATAAACAAAATATCGGTTTCAAATAAATACAAATCACTGAACACTGATCTTATCGGGTCGTGACAAGGAATTAGAGGTTGGGTTAAAAGATGGTTGAATTTTATTGGGTTGGGCATGGTTAATTATACATAATCAGGGTTAAAAGAAATGTAGGGTCAAGTAAAGAAGAACCAGTAATATAAAGACACGTGGCAAAGGTGGTGTCGAAAATTAATTCTTATTATTTAAAAATTAGAAAATGGAACTGTTAGTCGACAATGGTATAAATAGGCCAAAAGTATAACGTTAGTGGCATAAATAGGCCAATAGTATAACGTTAGTGGCATGAATAGGGTGACCTTTTAACGAATGGCATAGATAGGACTTTTATGTTAGTTGAGTGGTATTTTTTGGCTTTTTCCGTTTTAAAAAAGAAACATGTAGAATGTTTTTTTTTTTCCTTTTTTTTTTGTACTTCCGATTGTTTTGAGTGGCTCAATTAATTCAGAGAGCACACTTAAAGCCCAGAGATCCTCTAAGCAAGATCAATGCCACTGCCTTAATTAGCTGCCAAATGACGAGTTAATTTCATTACCTGCCAAATGCCAAATAGGTTGGGTAAGCTAGTTTTAAGTTGGTTGTCAGGTATCGCAATCTTCCTCTTTTATCGTCATAAAAATTATTTTTTATAACATTAAAATAACTAAACTAGACGTATCATAACAATAAAGTCATTAAAAATTTTGCGGTCTAACAATAAAAGCTACTCAGTGAGGTGGTTAGATTGTTATAATGAAAAAGATTTTATTACTTTACTGTTATAGTGAGTAAAGTTCAATTACTTTAATATACAAAAACTAATTTTACGACGTTACTTCCTTCGGTCCAAAATAAGTGATTTTTTGGTTGTTTTCATACATATTAAGAAATTTACCTTTTAACATTAATTAGCAATGAAATTGACCATATTAACCTTTACTCTTCACATAAACACTCCTAACACACACTCCAACGTTATTTACTCCAAGGGCAATGTAGGAAAAAAATAATTAATTCATTCTAGAAATCTGAAAAAAATACTTATTTTGGACCATAAAAAAGAAAGCCAAAAAATTACTTATTGTAAACCGGAAGAAGTATTATTATAGCAAATAATTAATCAGTTCAATGATCATAAGTGAAATTAACACGCATGGTGGCTGCATAAATAGAGACCATCAAGCTTGTCACAAAAGGTAATGGAGCAGTGGTTAAGATACCATTTCTATTGACTAATGAAACATTGTCTCAATCAGTTTTCCAATTGTTATCTGACTGCAAAATTATAGGAGCATTAATGTAACACCAATAAGATGCAACCACTGATTTACTACGTATTAAAGAACAAGAAGCATAGTAGATATTAGTGGTGTAGTATTATATAAAAGGTCACGTGATATATAAAAGCGATGGCTGAGCATGGGCGGTGCCTTGTTAGGACATAAGTAAGCATTATGAATCTACGTAACGTGAAAATTATAGTTTTTTGTTTTGGTTTGATAGTACGACACAACAAACCGACTATGAGAAGCCAAGATGTAAGCATCAAATTTAAAGTATGATGCACATGGTTGTCCCCCTGATCAACCCCCACCATTTTTGAATTAACTTCATGAATTTTACTAAATTCTAGTATTAACTCTGGGAAAGCCACAATACTTATGTTTGTTATGTTAATTAGGTAACTGAATTTTATTAACTATAATAGTACTAAAGTTACTTAGCTTTATTCATCGTAATAGTAAAGCCACAAATTATTTTTTGTCACATTAAAGTAACTACATTATACTTACTATAACGATTGAAAAGCTAAAGAAGGCAAGCGTGAAAATAAGTCATCTTGAATTCATGCAAACTTAACAAATAAATATGGTAGTGCTTATGATCTCGAATTCACGCAAATATAGCAAATGAATATGATACAATCAAGTTAAAAGATCCATACATGCCAGGGGCGGAGCGAGAGCGGGTTTGGCCGAACCTAGTAGCTTTGGTTCAAACTCTCTATTTGTCTTAAAAAAATTATTGAATATGTATAAATCATTAATTTAAAACTCAGTAACTTAAGAGGATTAAAATTCCAAACCCATAAGTTTGAAATCCTAGCTCCGCCTCTGATACAAGCAACAACGATTACATCAAATATAACCGCAATAAATGCCTGTTTTTACTAATACCATCTTTTTCAGCTTTTTTGAATCTTCTTATCAGATAGGAGTAACCACTTACAGTAGAATGATAAAAACAAAGCTAAGGATAAAGACCAACGGCATGGGCTGCTGCTGGAATAAGCAAAAAGGTATGATGAATTACTTTAGTAATGCATTATCTACAGCAGAAAATATATATATATATGTGAAGTAGCAACTTGGCTTTATAAGCTGGCATAGCTTTTCTATCCGTTTCTCTTGATCTCTTCATGTTATATCTAGCAGCGTGAAGATCAAATTGGGAATGCTTACTTCAGAGTTGAGAGAAAGTGGCGCAACTAATCTCCAATAAGAATATCTGCAATTAATGGAATGCTTTCACGTGTTTTTTTATTTATTAATGGGAATTTGATCATACCATTTTAGTCTTGCGGAATGAAGACAAGAATTCTACTTCTTATCCATACGTTGGTGGAGTCTGTCTAATAAAATTTGCCTTTGTTATGACTTATTTATAATGCTAGCTTTTGTTTTGAAGTAGAATATTTGGATAAAAATTAGGTGATTGGTTTGAATCATTATCCATGCTATGGCACTAATTTCCTCTGTTTCGGCTATGATCAATTTAGTTCATTTTCCGATCTGGCCGCTTGTTAAAATGTTTCATTTTCAAGGCAAGCTAAGCTAACACTATACTCCTTCCGATCCACAATAAGTGATCAATTTGCTTTTGGCACGCCCATTAAGAAAATACTAAATTCTATACGAAAATACCTAGTATGACTAAACTACCCTTAATTAAATATTTAATGTGAGGAGTAAGAAAACTTTTTAGGATATGTACATAAAGGTAATTTTATAAAAACAAATTGAATTCTTTCTTGATTATATAAATGGACACTTATTTTGGACCAAAATAAAAAAAAAATTAATCAATTATTATAGACCGGAGAGAGTATCATACTATTTCCAATTAACTAATGATGCCATACTTTGAAAGAAAGAAAACATAAATGGAGGCAGGTTTTATTATGACTTGTTTCACACTTAACTTTAAATGAGAGAAAAATTGTTCGATCGAGGATTCATTTGAATGCTCACTAAGTACTCATTCCTCCCAAAAACCCAAACCAAAAAAAGAAAAAGAAAAACCCCACCAATTATTTTAGTAGTACGTAGCAGTACGTATTGGATTCATTTAAATTCTTCATTCTTAGGCTAAAAGTCTCTTTCGATATAAGTTTCTAATAAATAGATGGGTCAACATATATATTTGAATAACAAATCGATCGATCTCACCAACTAAATTGGATTTGTATTCCGATGCTAACATGCTATACCCTGAACCTCAAATAATCACTCTTCCAATTCCATGTTATGCCTGATATGGGGGCAAAGCTTGCTCATATACACGGATCTTTGGAAAGGCGAAATTAAAAGCATTTCAGCTTCCACATGGGCTGCACTCTTACATTAATTTTTCCTTCACTTTCTTTTTCTATGCCCTTGACTCCGTGTAGTAATAAATGGGGGTTAAATTTTTTGGTGGGCGTGTTGTATTTCTTTTAAAAATCCTACTAGCATCATCAAAACAAACAAACTACTATGGCGGCCAACTTCAGACTAGTTACACGGATAAATTACAAAAAGGATTATGTTAAAATTCACATACACCCATCAAAAATTACAAGACAAAAATCAGAGCAAATATTCAACCCTTTTTATTATATTGTCATTAACAGGCACGCATTAATTACTTGATAAATAAAAATGATATCTCAACTCATGCCAATAAACCCTGTCCTCACTTTCTTTTATTTTATATTACAAAAAACTATTTGAAATGCTAATCTCAACCAATCATCATAATTAAGTAAAAAAATCCATTACGTCGGCAATTTACAACTTGGCCTGCCCTTTCTTCCTGTTCTTGTCGCGCTTTTTGTTTCCCTAGCTTGCTGCTTCTTTTTATCAAAAAAAGAAACAGAGATTCCCACGTCACATGGATACCACTTCATCAAAGACCAAAATTTGGCGGACTTTGGGCTATTGAGTTCACATGCAAAAGTGGGTATACTCTCTTTGCCGGCAGCAACAACTTTGTAGAATTGTGGGGCAAAAATATTGAGTGGCCCCACTTCAAATAGCTAGCATACTCAGAGACCAGAAATCTTTTTATTAATAGTAATAACAAAGATCAATGGAACTTCCAAAGGGCAGCTATAATGGTGATCATCAAGCTTGTTAAGAATGGTAATGGGCCAGAGGTTAACGTACTACCACTGTTACTGACCAATGAAACGTTGCTCCCACCAGCGTATTGCCCTCCAGATGATTTCTGACTGCAACAATAACATTATATTAGTACCATTAGTAGATCACCGATATAATTACTAGCGTTAACTAACAATAAATATAGCTCTTAATTAATATAATGTCCTATTGGATTATTAGCTGTTGTAGTTTTATATAAAGGTGACATGATATAACATTGATAGTTGAGCGTGGACAGTGCCTCAATTTGTTAGGACATAAGTAAGCATTTTGAATCTACGTAACATGAAAAGCATATGAGAAGCTAAGATGTAAGCACTAAATTATGTAGGATAGCGACGCACATGGCCCAAAACCTCCCACCTCCTATTTTCAAACTTTCGAGATTTCCTTTTAGTTTGCTTAAAATCAAGCCAACAATTCTTTGAGCTTCATTTCTAGGTGTGACTCATTATAAGATCAAAAGGTAGTTTGAGACAACTGACTACACATATGCTCTCATTTCCGACACACATGAAACATATATATTTGCATGTTACTTTTGTTTAACAAATCTCACCAAATAACCGCCCTATTGCATGCATATGACTACTTAGCCTAACCAAGCACATGCTTTGCTAATAAATAATTCTATTAGAATACACTAACGAAAAGATTTAAAGAATTATTATGGTGTCAGACATATAAGCTTTTTAAGTAATTACTCCATACCTTAAGTTGCCTCTAAAGGTTTAAGCTATACCCCAAGGGCGAAAATTTACTTCATCTGTATCTAAATTGTATTTAGATGACATATTTTGTTTATCGAGAGTCAAACTGTAAAATTTGATCAATATTTTAAAATATATTTTGTTATCATATTGACATGAGAAAAATTGCAACGTATAGTACTTTTCATGTTGGTTTTGTATATCTAAATTTTAATTTTAAAATATTAAGTTGAACTAATTCAATTTAGCTTTAAAGTTTAGTCAAATTAGATAAGCGAAATGTGTCATGGAGATAGTATTTAAAACACAAAACCTATTGGAGAAGGGGAATTTAATTGGAAAAACTAGAAAAGAAAGAAATTGAAGAGACATTAAATTGAACCAAATTGAGAAAAGAACTTGCTTTGCTTGATAAGGAAACGGCGAAGTATGTACCTAGCAGCAGGAGCAGGACAAAATGTGATGACATAATCAGCAGAAGCACAAGTGAAGGTGCTGGTTCCATCATCATACGCATAGCTGTAAGCGCGTGGGCATGAACTCTTGAAAAACTCCGAGTAATCCGTCGGCATGCATGTATCAGGCGTAGCATAGGGCCCACTACAACAATATCTCGGATTCCCAAACGCTTCACACGCGCTCTTGCATGCCACGCACTCGCCGCCGCCTCCGTCGCTGCCGGTGCTCATCATCTTCAGCTCCGCCGGACACGGCCCATTAAGGTCTACAACACACCCAGTTGCCGAACAATTCCCGGCGCCGGTCCCACCTTGTGGGCTCACTAACATAGGCAAGTTATAACCATCCACAAGGCTAACGTCATAGAAATCAAGGCCACCGGCGCCGTTGAGAGTGAACTCTGCTAGAGTGGCCGGCGGTGCAGCTCCGCCGGTGCACTCAAGTGTTCCAGAGCCACAATCACCTGTAACGCAAGTGAATTTACCGGTGGAATCTTGGGAACAAAAAGTCCGACCCCATAAACGACCCGACCAACCCGCTGGAACTGAAATGGGTATGGCCTGTCCTGGATTTAGCTGAAGTCCAGTTGGAGAAAGCTGGGTAGTACCTGCACCTGATAATATACCCGGCCATACTGTATAACTGCACTGGTTTACTAATGTAAATGTTGCTGATAACACCCCTGTTTCATTAAACCAACAAAAATGAATAACAAAGCTCCAAACTTTACCACAAAAATGTGAATAACAAGAATACGAGAACCAAAAACTTACCAGAAATAAGGAATACGGAACATAAACAGAATAAGGCAAGAAAAACTTGAGGTTTCGCCATAGTAATGTTTCTTTGTTTTGACTAAGACGTTTGAAGGGAATGAAAAATGAAGTTGTTGGCAATGTGGAGTACTGAAATGAATGTCGGACGGATCACGTGGTCGGACTAAGTTATTTATAGAAAGTTTTTGGACCGACGTTGGAGGGGAAACAGAACACCGCCAAAGTGTAAGGTCGGCAACTGTGTCGAAGCAGGTCAAAATGGCTTAATTAGAAATTAAGAGAAGAAAGCTTTGGGATTGGAAGAACTAAAATTCGTAAGTTTCAAGGATTAGTTTAAAGCTTTGGGAGTAATGCTTAGGCGGGGTTGCGGGAGGATTTAAATAGAATGCGATTTAAGGAGAGATGTCTCTAATTACTGTATCTAAAATTACCAGAGGGAAAAAAAAAAAGATAAAGTAACAGAGGGGACTTTTGGGTAATGGGGACGGGCGAGGAGTTAATGACGGTTAAATTCAACGGCCCTACGCGCCCTGGGAAGATTGGTGTGGGACCCCCTTGCAAATGGCAATAAGACCCAATAACGGTCCGTTCATCACTTGCGGGACCCATCTCTATGAAAAGATCAAATAGCGTAGATTCTTGACAGTGGCAAGTTGAAATCAGTGAACTGAACCTTAGCCGCAAACACAAATTAACACATAATTATATTTTTATGTTCTCTAATTCTTTACTAATCAATTAATATTGATGGCATATAGTCGTGGGGCTCCCTTCATCGCTGAAACAAAAGGGAAAACCAAGAGATCGGCTCATTTAAACCCAATTCAGCTGCTTCCAAGTTACAAACCGCAGATTTTGCAAAATTTGGTGCCGTCATGCTCATTATGAGAGGGAGTATCAAATTGTTTGAAATTTAAAAGAAAAGAAAAACAAGTGAGATACATTAACTAATACTAGTAATAGGTGTTGACAGAAAAAAAAAAAGAAAAAAAACTGTCGTAGTGCAATCCAAATGGGGAAGATGGTTGTTGCGAAGCTTGAAATTTTACTTAAGAGCTGTCAAAATATTTAAAGATAAAAATACAGAAACAAAATTAGAGGAGTTAACATATAATATATATGCATATAATAAAACTTTTGACTAAGCTAAATATTGTAATTTTTCAACGAAGGAGTATATGAGTTGGCTCGCCATTGGTTGTTGGTTGATACTCTCTTCTGTTCGCTATATTAGTTATTACGGAAAAGGCCTAAAAATATCACTCAACTTACAGAAATGGCCTATCGATGCCATCCGTATTAGAGATAATGCTATTACTTGAAGGATTGGGCCACCTTTGTATTTATTTGTACTGGGCTAAGCCCAATTGTTGGTTTCTTAATAAGTTGGTCGGGCAGTGGCCCAAGTAGTTTAGTGGATTACCAATTTTACCCTTGTATATATATAGCTTTTAGAATACAGATGTAAGTAACAATGAATAAATTTCTAAAAGAGAATGAACATATGCTTCTCGATTCCTCTCTCACTTTCTCTTAAACCCTAGTTATTTTTCTTCAAATCTTTCGATATACAGATGTTTACATGGTATCGCAGTCAATCCTGATGAATTTCGTCATTCTCTATCGATCGATATTACCCTCCAGCCGTTTTGGTGGAGTTTTTCATGTGCATCGATTTCTCGGTTTTGCCGTCGTTCGAGCTTTTTACCGGTGAAGCTTGTTTTTCTTTGGATTTTTCGCTAATCTTCCTAGTATTCCAGCGATGAACGGTTATTTTTTTTTTGGATCTTTCATCATCTACTGGTTCGAGAGTTTTCGTGTTTTTTAAATCTTCTTCAGAGCTAGGGCTTCTGTCAAAAGGACGTATCTTCCGGTTGTGAAGAATTTGGGTAACATCGATTTTCTTTCCTGCTCGTCTTCATCTTCATTGCATATATTGAACTGAGGTAGTGTTATACAATCTCTATTTTGGTTGTTTGAATTGTATTGGTATTAATTCACAAAAATGGGTGATACTACTAGTAATGAGTTTGAATTTACTCCTCGTGCTTCAAGTCCTCTATTCCTTCATCCTAGTGATGTCCCTAGTACATCATTGATTGGTGTTCCTTTCTCCGGTACTGGATTTGGAGGTTGGAAAAGGAGCATTATCGTGTCTCTTTCAGCTAGAAATAAGATAGCTTTTATCGATGGAACTCTCCCTAGGCCTCCTATTAATTCACCCGAGTGTAAACAGTGGGATAGGGCGAACAACATGATAATTTCCTGGTTGACAAGCTCAGTGTCCCCTGAAATTGCAGAAAGTGTTCAATATTCGGAGACTGCTGAGAGTATTTAGGCAATTAAATACTAGGTATGGAACAGTTAATGGAACTAAGAAATTCGAAATCAAGAGGGAGTTGGCTTTTACATGTCAAGGGGCTCTTGATATTGCATCTTATTTTAACAAGTTGAAGAAGCTTTGGGATGAACTGATAGTCATGTCTTCCAATCATGCAAAAAATTGTAATTGTGCTGCTAATCCTGGTCTGGAGCAGGAAGAAGAAGAGAATAGGGTGCATCAATTTTTAATGGGGTTGAACGAGACATATGTTAATGTTAGAAGTAACATTCTGCTCATGAACCTACTGCCTTCACTTGACAATGTTTATAACATTCTTTTACAAGATGAAAAACAAAGACAAGTCATTCCTACACTCATTTAATTATGATATGGCTTCTTTCCATGCAAGTGCCAACAATAAACCTCCTTCTCAACCAAATCTTAACAAACAATACAATCAGAGAGTTAGTTTTGATCACTCCAATCAAAGGATAAATCTTGGGCAGTATAAGGGATCTTTATTCTGGAAGTACTGCAAAAAGAATAACCATACCATTGAGACATGTTATAGGCTGCATGGTTTTCCACAAAACTTTAAATTCACAAAAGGCCGGAAGTATGATACTGCTGCCAACATTGAATCTTCTGCTTCTGGAGTTCCTGATGCCCCTACTACTTCTGGATCTGTTGGTCAAGAATCTATGATACCTGGACTGACAAAAAAATAGTGCAGTCAACTGTTGATGCTTCTGCAAAGTTCAACTTTGGACTCTGACTCTCAGACAAATCTTATGGGATCTGCAAACTTTGCTGGTAACATTTCTACTCAACATTTGCCTGATTGTGATAGCTTTGCTGCTTGCATGTTGTCCAGTGCTGTTAGGAGTGTTTGGATAGTAGATTCAGGAGCAACTGACCATATGACATCTAGTAAAGATTTCCTTTTTGACATTAAACCACTTCCTGTACCCTATTTAGTTTCATTGCCAAATGGTTACAAAGTGAAAGTAACATGCACTGGTTCACTTACTTTGTCTCCTTCCTTTGTTTTGCATCATGTGCTCTATATTCCATCATTTCAATACAATCTCATATATGTTTATAGGTTGATTCAACAGTTTCACAGTTTTGTCCTTTTCACATCTTTTTCCTGTTATATACAGGACCTTTCCAGGAAGAATCTTCTGGAACTTGGTAGAGTGCACCATGGTCTTTACAAGCTTCTTCCATTTACCACTTCTAGCTCTTCTACTTCTAGTCATTCTACTGTTCTTCCTAAACTGAATTGTATCTCTATTTCAGATTTAGCTGCTAATGTACTCTCCATGCATTCATCCCCTGCCTCTTCCTTAAATGATACTATATCAGTTGTAAATAATTCACCTTTGAATAATAATGTCCCTATTGTGTCTGACAGTACTACTTCTACTCTTCCTTGTGTAAAGTCTGATGTTTCTTGTATGAATTCTGTGAATGCTGTAACCAGTTCTAATATTCTTTGGCATTATAGATTGGGTCACATCCCATTTGCTAAAATGAAGGCCATTCCTGCTATTTCTTCTAATATTTCCTTTAAACAATCTTTCATTTATCCAATTTATCCTCTAGCTAGACAATCTAGATTGCCTTTTTCAAATAGTACCTCTAGTTCCACTTCCTTATTTCAACTAATTCATATTGATATTTGGGAACCATATCATACACAAACATATACTGGTGCAAAATACTTTTTAACAATTGTGGATGATTATAGTAGAGCCACTTGGACTCATTTAATGCACGCCAAAAGTAGTGCTTTTCCTCTTCTCAAGGCTTTCATTGCAATGGTCCAAACACAATTCAACCTCCATGTTAAAACTACTTGAAGTGACAATGCCCTAGAGCTTGGTTCTTCCCATTCCATGTCTCAATTTTTTCCTGATAATGGGATTTTACACCAAACAAGTTGCCCCCACATACCTCAACAAAATGGTGTGGTTGAGTGCAAACACAAACATCTTTTAGAAACTTCAAGAGCTCTTTTATTTTAGTCAAAACTTCCTACCAAATTCTAAGGGGATTGCGTATTAACTGCCACTTATCTTATAAATAGATTTCCCTCAACTGTAATATCAAAAAAAACTCCTTTTGAACTTTTATATGGTGTTGTACCATCCTATAACCATTTGAAACCTTTTGGCTGCCTTTGCTATGCTTTAGTTCCCAAGTGTCAAAGGGACAAATTTCAGCCAAGGGACGTCCCTTGTGTGTTCATTGGTTACCCTTTTGGGAAGAAAGGGTATAAGTTTTACAATTTACAAACTAAGTCTGTCCTTATTTCCAGAGATGTCCATTTTCGTGAAGTTGTTTTTCCATTTCATCTCTCAGACTCTCCTTATTCTATACCTTCTCCTTTACCTCCTTCTCCATCTCCTATCATTTCCGACCCTTCTGGTCCTTCAACTGTTCATGTTTCTCTTCCTCCTTCCTTCACCCCTTATTCACCTATTTTTCCCATTTCCACCCCTGCTTCACCTCCTTCCACTTTTTCTTTTTCTCCCCAATCTGATTCATCTCTAGCTCACTCCTCTCCTTCACCTATTTCTTCCAGTCCTGCTGCTCCTAGGAAATCAACCAGAACCCACAGTCTTCCTTCTCATCTTCAGGATTATGTAGTATCCCTTCCTCCCTCTTTCTGCACCTCTACTACCACCACTACTGATGCACCAACTGCTGTAGTTGAGCCTCATTCTTACCATCAGGCTGCTATAAGTCCTGCTTGGCAAGAGGCCATGAAAAAAGAGTTTGAGGCTTTGGAGGCTAATCACACATGGGACATTGTTGACTTGCCTCAAGGTAAGAAACCAATTGGGTGCAAATGAGTTTACAAAATCAAGTATAAGGATGATGGTTCTGTTGAGAGGTATAAAGCGAGGCTAGTAGCTAGAGGTGACACTCAAGTATAGGGTGTAGACTTTGCTAAAACATTTTCACCTGTTGTAAAAATGTGTACTGTTAGATGCCTCATTGCTTTTGCTGTCAAACATAATTGGTCATTGTTTCAATTGGATGTGAACAAGGCATTTTTGCATGGGGACTTAGATGAGGAAGTCTACAAAGAAATCCTTGTATGGTTTGAGACAAGCTTCTCGGCAATGGTATGCAAAGCCATCTCAGTCTCTTTGTTCTAGAGGGTACACTCATTCTTTGAATGACTATTCATTATTTTTCAAAAGAACTGCTGCTTCCTCTGTTTTCATTGTTGTCTATGCGAATGATATCATCCTCACTGGAAATGATATAGCTGAAATTACTGCCTTAAAGAGTTTTCTGGATGCTGAATTTAAGATCAAGGATTTGGGCCACCTTAACTATTTTCTTGGCATTGAGGGGCTTTATCATTCATCATGGGTTCTTCTACACCAAAGAAGATTTATCTCTGACCTATTGACTGAGTTTAAGTGTTCAGATGTCTCTCCTGTTGTGTGTCCTCTTGCTTTGTCCACCAAGTTACATTCTGAGGCTGGGGATGTCTTGCCTAGGCCTGATACTTATCGGAGCTTTATTGGTAAACTCAATTTTCTCACTCATACTAGGCTCGATTTATTTTTTGCTGTGCAACATCTTAGTCAATTTCTTAAGACCCCTCGAGTTCCTCATATGGAAGCTGCATTATATGTTTTAAGGTACTTAAAGGGTACTCCTGATATTGGTGTTTTTTTGAACAATTCTTCTAATCTTTCTCTCCATGGCTACTGTGATAGTGATTTGGCAGCATGCCCTGATACTCGCAAGTATGTTACTGGTCTCTGTGTTTCTTTTGGAGGTAGTTTAATAAGCTGGAAGTCTAAGAAACAGCAGGTGGTGTCTCTCTCTTCCGCTGAAGCAGAATACAAGGCCCTAAGTAAATTTGGGGCTGAATTGTCTTGGTTGGCTCGTTTGTTTTCTGATCTAGGTATGCCTCTATCAGCACCTATACCTGTTATTTGTGACAGTATGGCTGCGATTCATATTGCTAAGAATCCGGTATTTCACGAGCGCACCAAACACATTGAGCTCGATGGCCATTTCATTCGCACTAAGTTGGCTGATGGTTTAATATCTTTAAGTCACATTCATACTGCTTCCCAGCCAGCTGATGTATTCACTAAGTCTCTTGCAGGTGCTTCTCAACATTTTTTGCTTGGCAAGTTGGGCGTGTGCATACCCTCCAACTTGAGGGGGGGGGGGGTATTAGAGATAGTGCTATTACTTGAAGGATTGGGCCACCTTTGTATTTATTTGTACTGGGCTAAGCCCAATTGTTGGTTTCTTAATAAGTTGGTCGGGCAGTGGCCCAAGTAGTTTAGTGGATTACCAATTTTACCCTTGTATATATCTAGCTTTTAGAATACAGATGTAAGTAACAATGAATAAATTTCTGAAAGAGAATGAACAGATGCTTCTCGATTCCTCTCTCACTTTCTCTTAAACCCTAGTTATTTTTCTTCAAATCTTTCGATCTACAGATGTTTACAATCCGTTAAAAGCTCGCACTTTCCATGCCACTACGTTAAACATTTGGCCCATCTATGCCATTATTTGACTAACGGCTGAATTTTTTCTTTTTTAAATATTTATAATTAGTGAATAGACCCACATTTTCACGTGTCTTTTTATTATTGGTCCGACTTTACCCTTGTCCTACATCAGTTTTAACCTTGATTAGGTGTATTTACTCAAACCCAACCCGGTAAAAACATACCCAAATTATTAACCCAAGGGATACAATGCTGCGAAATAAAAGCAAAATAAGCATTATCTGGGTCATCGAGCAGCGCGTGAGCAAGAAGGCGGCGCGTGGCGGAAATGAGCGTCGGCGATAAGCGTTGAGTTCTCTTCGAATGTATAAATCTATCAGTAAAAACAACGGTTGGAGGTGTGATTTTCACTGTAAGGTCAGCGTGTATGTAGATATTATACAGATGCGGATCGAAAGCATTGAAGAATTTGTGCCATAAGGATTCGAAGTGTAAATCGGAGTTTGTTAGGAACAAAAAGGCGATTTTGGGGCGGCGGATGGAGGCGGAACCTAGACGGAATTTGTTGGAGGGACGTTTATGAGAGGGCTTTCTAAGGAAAGTGGAATCGGCGGCGATGGCTTTGTGAAAAAGGAAAAGATCGCCGAGTAACCAATATGGGTTAGGTTGGGTTAATAACAGAGTTGAGTTAATAATTTGGGTTAGGTTGGGTTAAGAATTTGAATATGTTTTAACAGGTTGGGTTTGGGTAAATGCACCTAACCAAGGTTAAAACTAATGTAGGGCAGGGGTAAAGTCGGATCAATAATGAACAGACACGTGGAAATGTAGGTCTATTCACTAATTATAAATATTTTTAAAAAAAGATTCAGCCGTTAGTCAAATAATCGCATAGATGGGCCAAATGTTTAACGGTAGTGGCATGGAAAGAGCGGGCTTTTAATGGATGGCATCGATAGGCTATTTATGTAAGTTGGGTACATTTTTAGGGCTTTTCCGTAGCCATTATGATAAATCGAAAACGTTTTCAAAATATTGAAGTTTTCAAAAATTAAGAAGTTATTTAGTAGTAATACTTTTTCCCCTAAAAGTTCTAATTATTTCAATTGATGAATTATCAACTAAATGAGATATTTAAGGAAAAGATAAAAATGTAGTTTACATTCTATTTGGATCATTGTTCCCCGTCGTTTTATAATGTATTGTATTGTATTTTACCGTATCGTTTTATGAATATAATGTTTGGATAGATTGTATCGTTTGTTATTGTTAAATAATATTTTGTTGTTTGGTTTGGATGTATCATACTGTACTATAACTTATAAGTTTTCTAAAATACCCCCAATTGTTTAATATTAAATTTATCAGAAATTATGTATAGAAATAATTTTAAAAACAAAACAGAAGAGGGCAAAACACCTTAAGAAAGCAGAACAAAGGAGCGAGACAGAAGAAGGCAAAACAAAGGAGCACAACTAATTATAATTGAGTTAAAAGCAAATTAGGAGAAAAAATAAAACAGAAGGCGGCAAAACACCTTTAACATTGGTCTGGAAACAAAGTAGGTTATATGTTGGAGATCTTGAGTTAAAATAAAAAAAATATAAAAAAATAAAGGGTAAAATAGATTTGTGGAGTAATAAGTTAGGACATAATTGGAAAGAAAAATAGGAAATAATTCCACCACACCAAATCGGTTGTTTCAAAAAAGGAGACTTTTCATTATTCCGGAACAATGGATTTAACAATACAATGCAACTAAAACAATCATAACAAACATTATTTTAGGAAAACAATACAATACGATACAAACCATCCATAAGCTGTTAGACAAATAATCTAACGATTATATTATTAAATAAAAAGCTCACTTCAAAATGTGCGAAAACCTGACAATATAGAATAGAATATTAATATCCAATAAATTACTCAAAAGCTTTTCGCGGTAGCAGGAAAAATTCAACTTCAAAAGATGAAGTAAATTTAAGAAAAGATGTGTCCGCCTTGCAAATTATGCATACAATCCAAAAAGAAAACGGCAAAGTAGTAATCAAGTTGCTTACCCTAACTATAGGCAGTTTAATTGTAGGGGTTATCTACTAAAAGCTGTAATTATTTTTTTAATAAAAAAATTATCAAAGACGACCACATGCGATTCTGATTCCTCCTGCAAGTATGGGTTAATTTTTGGGTACGATGCAAAGGAAAGAAGACTGGCTATTAACACACAAGAGTTGCGTCACATTTTCCAAGGAATAATCAATAGAAACCATTCAATGGAAAGTTTTACCATTATTCATTAAGCATTTGCTATGATACACTGTTACAGTCAATATTCCATTAAGCTCTCTTTAAATTGACGGTGCAAGCTCATCAGCTATGCCGCATCTTAATACGGTGCGAGTTTGCATGATGTTAAAGTTAATAATAGAAAATTATATTACTGTAAGAAACTTAAAAATCAATAAAACGACACAAGTTATAGAATAGAAAAAGCATTACGGGTGTGTTTGGTACGAAGGAAAACATTTTCCGAAAAATATTTTTCAATTTTTCCATGTTTGGTTGGCTTAAATGTTTTGGAAAACATTTTCTTTATGAACTCATTTTCCTCCAATTGGAGGAAAATATTCCTTATCAAGAGAAGGGAAAACATTTTCCGTTATACCAAACACACCCTGCGTATACTATGCTTTTCTTGAGCTCGATGGTCTATTAGAAACAACCTTTCTACTTTCACAAAGTAGAGGAAAGGTCTGCGTACACCCTACTCAACCCTCCTAGAACCTGCTTGTGGGATTACACTGGGTGTAATCCTGCAAGCGGGTAGTTTTTTCTTAGAGATTTTTTTCTTTCCTATACCATATATGAAATCTTATTATAAAAAATGTGCATAGTTTCTAATTTACCTGCCCTGTCCACATTTTTTCTACATTTATTATACCAATCATTAAATACTGATTAATAGTAGCTGAATCTTCCTAATTTGTCGAGCTAAAATTGAGGAACAGAATATTCTAAAAAGATTTGGCGTAAATCAGATCAAATCATATTCTTCCAGATATTCCTATTTAGGCGTGCTACAATTATGAAAGTAAATATTCTTCCAGATATTTTCCACAATTGATAGCCATTAAAAAGCTTGAAAGCTTTGAATTCAAATTTGGGTTTTCAAAAATCATTATTTGTTTGGATTGGGTGTTGTTGAAAATAATCGGGAATATGGTTTGGAGTTTATATCTCAATTTTGAGGGGCTTTGGTGAAGATTAGACTTGGTTTTGACTGAAATTAAGATTGAAACTCGAAGAAGAAGAAGACATATTGCAGAAATTGTAGATAAATTGTAGATTATTTGTATTCTGATTGTAGGTGCTTTGTTTTCTGTTTTCACAAATAAAAAACGGCTAAAACTTCTATAAATCTTCTGCATAAAACGCAATTATGTCGAAAATGCCAATTATGCTACAATTGAAATGGGAATTGGGATATTAAAATTCAATGTATCCAGTTTGTAGATATTTTGTAGATAAATTGTAGATTATTTGTATTCTGATTGTAGATGCATTGTTTTCTGTTTTCACAAATCCAAAACGACTAAAACTTCTACAAAATCTTCTGCAAAAAACAGTCTACAATTTATCTACTTTTTGTTCTACAATTTATCTACAATTTCTGCAATATGTCTTCTTCTTCTTCTTCTTCGAGTTTCAATCTGAATTTCGGTCAAAACCAAGTCTAATCTTCACCAAAACCCCTCAAAATTGAGATATAAACTCCAAAACATATTCCCAATTATTTTCAACAACACCCAATCAAAATAACTAATAATTTTTGAAAATCCAAATTTGAATTCAAAGCTTCAAAGCTTTTTAATGGCTGTCAACGGTGGAATTGCTGCTCTCTTGTCTCTTTGAAGGTTTGTTCTTCTTCGTTGAAAAAATTTGAAGCTGAAGGTAAATGTGTGTATGAACTTTGAAGATTTGACTTCAATTTTGATGAACTTTGTTGTTCTTCATTGATGAACTTCAACTGGAGTAAAATGGAGAACCAACTTTGTTGAAGGGTTTCTTCAATTTTCTGTGAATTTAGAGGGAGCATTTAATTTCAGAAGATGGAAAATGGTAAAAAGAACGTGGGTATGGGTAAAACGTGGGCGGAACTGAGGGGTTAGGAGAGAGAAACGTGCAGATTCCTTTAATTAAGGAGTAAAAAATATATAATTAATTATACCCTTAATTAATTATGGTATAGAATTGGTAATTTGGTATACTAAGTGTAATTAAGTCAAACCTTAAACATTGAGGGTAATAAGATTTCAAATGTGGCATAGGAATGTAAAAATCTCTTTTTCTTATGACTAGAAAAACTAATAGATTATCCTAATAAGCGGGCTAATTTAGATCGTTTGCTACATTGGGCTTTCCAATATTAGCCCCTAACGTCTGTGGAAACATTCAGTAAAGAAAGGAGAAATTCAAAAATAGCCAGATTTACAAGTGGTCGTTCAAAAATAGCACAGTTTCAAAAGTAATCGAAATTTAGCCACTTTTCATGTAAAGATAAATCTGAACGAAAACACTGTTCCAAACCCGAAAAATACGCAAGTATATTATGCTGGAGTTCCAACATAAGTATACTTGAACTCCAGCATAATATGATGTAGTTCCAACATAAGTATACTTGAACTCCAGCATAATATGATGTAGTTCCAGCATAATATACTGGAGTTCCAGCAAAGTATACCGGTCCAATATAATATGCTGGAAGTTCATACACAAGTACTCGAATCCCAGTATATTATGCTGGAACTTTCCGTGTGTTGGAGTTCCAGCATAATATGCTGGAAGTTCATACAGAGGTGCACCGAACTCCAGTATATTATGATGTACCGGTCTCTGTTGCAGCAAAATAGTGACTATTTTTCATTGACTTGGTAAACGCTGGCTATTTTTGAATGACTAGCCCGAAAGCTGGCTAGACCGTGCTATTTTTACTAAAAGAATGAAATACTAACGAGTGTAAGAGTTTCAGCTTCAGCTCTCCTCCAGTATTTGAATCTAGAGAAACTATCATAAGGCAGAACAAAGTTCTGCTTAAGCAACAATAACTGCTCAACCAGAACAACCCAAGTTTTTCTTAATCTTCTGATCCTTTTAGTTATTCATGTAAAAGTCATGATCAGGGTAATCTTTACTCTTTCAAACTCTTCTGATTCTTTAACCATTTAGAGTCTATCCAGTTGAGACTTTCAAACATTCAGATGCTCAACAGGTAGTATTCTTCTATCACCCGGTAATATAAATCAGTCCACTTAATAGCTTAACGCCACTCACAGCAGACCTTGTACACATATTCATCTCTTCCCATACAAGCTAAGTAAATTTTGAACTCTGATAAGTAGGGTATCCCATCATATTAGAGTAAATTCGTCCTGAGTTTGGAGCTAGGTGTTTATTTGGGGGAAAAGGTCTGCTACAATTTACACTTCGCAGAAATAATACGAGGGATCGAGGATCTAACTTGTCAGCCGGCTCCACACTGAGGAGCAAAACTTGGTTAAAATAAAATCAACAGGAAAAGCTGTCACATAGGAGTAGAAAGCTGAAAGGTAATTAGGGGTGTTTAACGAGAACACAAAGGTTCTTCTCATTTCCTCAAGACAGTGAATAGATAGACTATCACCATGGAGGAAGAGAAGTCGTTTAACATTTTCCAACTGGGAATTTTATGGGAGTAGATTTGCGAGATTGGTGCTTCATTTAATGTTTGGCATTAGGACAGATTTTAGCTGGCCGTTTGTCCTGCTAAGTTTCAAAACATAGCTGAAAGAAACCTGATCAGTTCTATTAACTAAAACTATACATGATATCTAACTCACTATCCCACATTCTAACTTTCCACTAACCCACTAGCAATTCAACTGCTCTGTTGAAAATCCAAATTGCACGTTTAAATGATCATAAATACTAGACTAACTAATATTCCCCACATAATCATTTATTACCAGAAAAGGTCATAATCAATATGTCCCAGAGAGACACACGGACAGATCAGACACAGCCTAAAGTACAATGTTGCAGAGTCCTCCATGGACTCAAGATGTGATGTGCTTGAACTCTAAACCCTATTCCCTCATTCCTTGTTCTCTGAAAACAGAACTATTGGCTCCATAATATCAACAGCCAAAGATCATGAAGAATTCTTTCACTAAAGAACATCATTCAAGTCTACATTAGTCCTTGAAACACAATCCTTTTCATATGATATTCAGAAGTAAATTAAAGTAAAACCAACCTAATAAGCTATAAGAAAAAAGAAGAGATTATTAGGATGAACTGTCTTTTGTTACTCAAGATCCCTACAGCATGACTAGAGAGCTATGGCAAAGATTCAACAATAAAAAGAACGTACATGAAACCACAAGTTGAAGTCCGCCATGGCTAGAGAACTATGGCAAAGATTCAACAATAAAAAGAACGTACATGAAACCACAAGTTGGGGTCTCAGCTCAGTTGCACAACTAAATGTAAATAACACAAACAAAGGCCATAACAATAAAAAAAGATAACAATGGCCTAAATCTCAACCAAACATCCGGACCAGGGGTCATGTAACTCCCACTGTTTCAACTACAAATGTACAATGCACCATATGACCGTATTTAAAAAGTCTAAAGGGGGACAATGTTTATGTATCAAGTGTTCCACCGGAAACTACTCGGTCAACCAACTACTACTCAATCTCAAGCTAGTTAAGATTAAATGTTATTTCAAAACAAATATTCGCAAAAGCTTATCCAGCTACTCTTCAGAATTTGATTCCCAAACTTGCACTTCAATTGACACCTATAATGTCACCAACAAAATAAATTAAAATAGAATCATAAGAAAAAGGGACACTTTAAATTTCCCTAGGTAAGTTCTCAGAATTCCCAAAGGCCTCAAAGGGTTCCCTTCCCAACCAATTGCCTCGTGCTCTACCTACTACCCCATATCGCCCAAATCTTAGCACACCGGCCGCCTTGCCAATAAGTCGTTCTCAGCTATGCTATTTCCATATTACCTCATCTTTCTATTTCAATCCCTTAATACTTTTTATTTGTTCAACAATTCAATTTTTCCCAAAAGTAAAATGGCAATGACATGAAAATTTTCTAAATTCCAATAAGAACTTGCGTGCACTTAAAGTTGGAGTAGCTAACGACAATAACTAAAGTGTCTGAATAGTGCAAATTATGACTAGGTAGAGGGGTGTTGAATAGGTGAAATGTGTCGGTGTAAAAGAGATTGGAACTGCAAAGGAAGGGGAGACAGAGAGGTGTTTGGGAATAGAGTCTACTGCAAAGGAAGGGGAGACAGACTTGTGGGTTGTTGCATCTTCTTTTTTAAAAGGAGTAAAGGAAAACTAATTTTTGCAAAACAATCCGAATTCCTGCTTAAATAGAAGTGCTAAGCTTAGGGAAGTTTTGCTAGATTAATTGTTTCAAGACAAGACTCTTTTTATAAAAGGAAAAGATCAAGAGCACCTTTTTTGCTAGATGCCGATGATGCTAATTTGGAAATTATTTTTACAAAATCTTAGAAGAGATAGTTTGGGAATACTTCTTTAGGAGAGAACTAGAAATTCTTTAATTACCTACTATTAACCTACTATTGTATGTATCTCGGCATATTCCAACAAACAGGTATAGTTCAAACAAAGTTTAAACAGAAAGCATTAGCTTGAATATTTTGCTGAGAGGACCATCAATGGAGCATATTCCCAACAAACAAATACAAAACAGAATTATAAACACAAGCAGAAATCACAACGATTAATAGACTGCATATCATAGGACATGCTTACTATCAAGCTCACAACTGAAACAACAGACGTTTATCAGCTTCATGCATTATGTGGGTTCTCAAGTTTTCCGCGCGCGTATGTGTGTATTGTATATAGTGTATTAAAATTGCACAACAGATACATATACATAATTATGATGAGCATAACAGATTTGCTTAAAGTGCAAAAACTGAACATCCAGCATTTTATATACTTGTTTATCAACTACTAACCAAAAGTATGCATCCGAGAAACATAATTCCAAAAGAACATCCAGCCATATAGCTAACAAAATAACAACTGGAAAAAAACATGTCCAATGCTAACAAAAATGGAATATTACGAGGACTGATAACAAAAGGGGGAAGATCATGTACATGATCAGTTGACGGATTGGCTAGTGCATTCCCTAGCAAAGTGACCCGCCTCTCCACAGTTGTAACACTTGCTTCCTCGTCCACTACCACCACCACCACCATATCTCCCATAACTACCACCACTAACCCCACCCTCACGGGGACAGTCTCTTGCCATGTGTCCTTGTGCACCGCATGTGTAACAAGCCCCATTACCTCCTCCACCACCACCACCACCACCAAGACGTCCACTACTCGGGCAGTCTCGAGCCATGTGGCCATACCCGCCACAAGTGTAACAACCATCATTACCACTCCTCCGATAACCATCACCACCACCACTGGCACGGTCACAATCCCGCGCTAAATGCCCACTCGCACCACAGTTATAACACCCGCCGCCTCTGCCACCACCACCACCGCCGCCTCCACTGCTACGATCACAATCCCTAGCTAAATGTCCCGTCTTTCCACAGGTATAACACTCACCACCGCCACTACGATATCCACCGTCACCACCGCCGTTCCTGCGATAACCGTTACCGCCATAGCCGTAACCACCACGGGTATTGTTACGGCCACTATCGAGAGGAGCACCATCAGGACCAGTGACATCATTAGCCTGATACTTATCACCCTTCACAATCATTGTGAACTCCACTTTCTGGCCTTCGTAGAGAGAACGGTAGCCGTCGGATTTGATCTCAGATTGATGAACGAATAGATCCTCGGATCCATCATCAGGCTTGATGAATCCGTAGCCTTTTTGGTTGTTGAACTTGGACACCACACCTGTCATTCTCGACGTCTCCACCGCCATTGTTAACCGATGGCAAACCCTTGAAAAAGCTCAAATTCCGCCGAGAGATTCTTATAGCTAAAGGGGAAACCCTAAATAGAGTTTCGGCGCCTTAAAGCGTTTTAAAGGGGGGACGTTAGGGCTTTTCGGTTCCTGATTTTTGTTGGGTTTGGTTGTAAATTTGTTGCATATTTATCCAATCCAATAAATATGGTAAGACCAAGAGTTTACGTTGTAAAATTTGATTTCTAGAATTTATTTATCTTGTATTTTGAATTTCTTTCTTAGAGAAATTATATGTGTCTACTACCACTTATTACATTTTTTTTATTTTTAAACAAGACGCCCCAGAAGAAAAGTAAAATAGATAAGATACGTCTTCGAGTTCATTTAAAACAAATTTAAAGCTAATATAGTTGTAGTGTCGATTATCATTATGAATCTAATAACTTTTGTTTATGTGTATCCTAACAGGTTTGAAAGATTTAAACTCAGTATCAATCTACTTTGGCTGGCTAATAACAGGAAAACATTAATGTTTTTGGTCATAATATATAGAGAATAGAAATCATAGCTCACTAAGTTAAATTTCTTTCCTCAAACTGTTAAAGCCTCTGACTAATCTTATGGGATTTGGTTTTTGTTCTAAGTATCTGCTGTTTTCTCCTTTAATTTCTTGTCAAAACACAACCAAGAGTCTTGCCTTTCTCTATCTTTTTTTCTTTTGGGTTAGTGCGTGTCTATATTACGAAATGTTCGTGTATAACGATTAAGATTAGAAAAAATAAAAAAAATTAAATGAAAACACACAAAGGAATAAGTCAATTGAATATGCATCATATGCTTATCCCGTGTATTCAGAAAGCAGATACAAGTAGAGATAAAGAGACTGCGATTGAGATTGATTCAGCTATATGTTATTGATCCATGCCCCTCAAAATACAACTTTTAGAGGGCCAATGCCAATACACTGATTCATTTAAAGTTGAAATTTCAGAAAAGAGAAAATCCAAAAAAAAATATAAAAATAAATTTCAAAAGAAAAATTTACCTATCTACAATGCAGGGGAGAGAAGCATAAAGTTGGCTCATATTTGTACAAAGGAAAGTAAAAAATATTTAGTAGACTTCCACATTCCATTGCTCTGCCTTCTTCAATTGCTTCTTGTAGTCCGCCCATACAATACCTTTAATAGCACAGCAAAATGTAAGCCTCAGATCGATATTTATAGTGAATAAAAATGATTAAGGATTTTAATATTTTATCAGAGTGTGTGGGAAAAAAATGACGACATAGTTTGGACATATGTTTACCATCTCTAGCAGCAAGTGAAGTCATAATGTCATCAATTCCGGACTCCATGCCCTTGAGTCCACACATGTAGACGAAGGTGTTGTCTTTCTGTAGCAGACCCCATAGTTCTTCTGCATATTGTGCCATTCTGGTTTGTATGTACATCTTTTCGCCTTTTTCGTTTGTTTGCTCTCTGCTCACAGCAAAGTCCAGTCTAAAGTTTTCTGGGGCCTTCTCCTTCATTTTCTCGAATTCCTACAGTACAACATCAAGAAAATTTCCATAGTTGTAAATCTTAATCAACAAAGTGCACAGTGGAGAATCAAGGATTACTGAGTATGCTTGAACATTACCTCTTTGTAAAGTAGTGAGCTGCTGGTGGGAACACCCAAGAAAAGCCATGCCAAACCGTTGAACTGTACGATAGCAAATTCATATCATTCAATCGAGTAGTCAGAAGAGAGAATACCAATGAAATCAAGTCAAATACTACAATGATATTCTATCATTAGCCGTTTCTCTAGTTCAAAGCCTTGCAATAAACTGATGTTGGATATTTAAGTGTTTAAAGTCAGTCATCTTTGGCTCAAATAGCACTTAATAATTCACTATTTCGAAGATTCTACAACTCTAACTTTTGTGCTTAACTTGACTTCATTAGATAGAACACTTTGATGGTTCATAATATCGGACTCCAAACTCCTTGAGGCTTGAGTTTTAATTCATACAAGAAACAGTTGTTGCCTATGACCAGACACTTTCTTCTTTTAGTTCTTTTCTTTTTACTAGCATGTGCAGTGTGTTGAAGCCAAACAATAAAAAATGAAGAGAAACAATCAAACAAATGGTTATTTTGTGTACCTTGTAATCCTCATGTTTCTCAAAGAACATTTTCCACAAGAATGAACGGAAAGGAGCAATTCCAGTTCCAGTCGCAAGCTGATTGACAAATTCGAATTAGCAAAAAATGCATAGTCAACTAAAAGGCAGCAGAAATGACTTAGATGACAATAAACTAGCTAAAGAAAAACTCACCATAACAACGGTGGCATTTGGATCTTTTGGCATGAGCATTTCTTTCCCAACAGGTCCAGTAATCTTGACCTCAGCTCCAGGCTTCAAGTCACCTGAAATATGAAACATTTGAAGTTACACAAATAAGCAGGGCAAAACCTTATACTCCTACTCTACATTAGGAACAATCACTCTTAATCCAATCTGTACTGGATAGCTAAAATAAAACAGATAAACAGTGACATCGTCTAAGAAATTAGGGAGTCGTTGATTCTTACATAAGAAGTTTGAGCAAACTCCTTTAACTTCTTCCCCTTTGTCATTGGTGTAGATAAGCCTTTTGACACACAGAGAAACCTGTATGAAACCTCAAGTTCAGACACTTACATTTGTGTAATGTATGACCTATAGTTGGTAGAAATGATGATTGCCACTATTAATCACACTCTAGACATGTTTATTGATCTGTTAAGACTGAACTGTAATATAGAGGTAACTAATAAAGTTGTTGCCATGTGACCAGGAGGTCATGGGGTCAAGCAGTGGAAACAGCCTATTACAGGAGAAATGCAGGATAAGGCGGAAGCTTATTAGTGCACCGGGCTGCTCTTTATAGGAATTGAAAACTTACGGTTTTGGAGTCGCCGAAGTCACCAAGGGCACTGCTAGCAATGGAGTACAATCTGAGCTTGTGAGGCTTCCCGTTGGCATCAACACCATCGGCAATCACACCAATGGATTGTCCTTCTCTGTATGGGATCTCTCCTAATAAATCCAACAAAATTAATTCAGCTCCCAACAAACTTAATTAAGAAAAAAATAATATCAATGAGTTAGTATTAGATTAAGGCCATACCCTCAGTGCTAAAGACCATGTGCCAAGTTTCACCAGGAGCATCATCACCCGTGATCTTAGTGTTGAGTAGACATCTACCAACGTAAGGTTCCTTTGGCCTGAACTTGTTTACAACTACACCCTCATCCTGTTTCTTTGAAATCTTCTCAACTTTAGCAGGAGCCTCTGTGGTCACCTGGGCTCTGATTGAAACCACTCTACTACCAGCTGACACATTTCTGTAGTACAACGGCACCTGTCACAAACCAAGAATAAATCCATGGTCAATATATAAACAATTTCCAAGAAAAAGAATTACCTGAAAATAAGTCGAATTTTACCTTGTTGAAGTTGATCTTTTCTGGGGAGATGATGGTGGTTCTGGTGGGAAAAGAGGTGGACTTAGATGATGGAAGAGAAACTGCAGCACTTACTGCAGCAGCCATGTTTGAGATATTAAGAAATGGAATAAAAAATTAAGAGGAGGGAATTGATAATAAGGTAATGGTGAAGAAGGAAAAATAAAGAGAAGAGGAGTTGAGATCTTTTTAGAGGGGGTATCTAGTGGATTAAAGGATTGGGTGGAGGAGATTTGAAGGGTGGGAGATGTGAAGATAAGAGAAGTGTATGATTCTAGAGCCTCTAGCCTCATGTCTTTTCGCGATTGTGTTTTTAGTGTGTGATATGTGGCCAAAAACGACGTGATTGATATTTATTGGGCAGCCCGTACACTAAACTCATGCTATAAGCGGGATCCCGGGAAGGGGCTAGATCACAAGGGTCTATTATACATAATCTTACCACATATTTCTGCTAGAGACTGTTTTCAATAATAGAACCCGTGATTTCTGGTTACATGGCAAAAACTTTACCAGTTACACCAAAGATCCCTTGGCGATTGATGAGAGTTCCATGTACGAATGGACATATAAGCATGCTACTATAAGTCTACAACAGCCACCAGCTACGAAATCTGTATTCAAGAATATGGACTAATTGGTTTGCTTAGAAACACAAAGGAATTTAATTTTCATATATAAAATCTCATATTACATATACATCACTTGCTTTCCGATATAGTATCTTGCATAACTATCAAAATCTTGATATTATAAGTGATGTAGTGTTTTGTTTCCACTACATAAATTGGTGGAGTTTAATACTACTTACTACTGAATACTAAACAATGTATTACTTCAAAGTTATATGGAATATTATTTTATGAGAGATAGAATATCGAATAATAATATGTGTATTGACAATATGTGAATTAGAGTATTTAATGATAAAAATACTCTTAAATTGAGCAACACTATATAACAATTTCTGTATTTATATTTATTGCACAATAAGTCCTACAGTATTATTCACCACATAGCTAATTCCTGCAATTTAACTTCACGCATAACTTGACATAAAGCCAAAGGTGCGCCAAGGCTGTCAACTTGATGCCCAATTTGCAACGGATATTATGTTAGGATGAAGGAAGAGAAGTTGTAGTAGCATATAAGTGTGTACCTCACTACTAAAACCTGGCTAATTTCATCCAGAAAAACTGACCAAAATCGGTCGGAAATTGAGAAAAAGTCATCGATTTCCGACCGCTTTTAATTGGTCGGAAAAATGATAGTCGCTAAGGTGTTTCGACCGAAATCGATCGGTTTATTCAATGCGTTAACTGACAGTCAAACTGCATTTACCGACCGAAATCGGTCGGTATTAATTAAAATTTTTTATTTAATTTTCAAAATACCGACCGAAATCGGTTGGAATGAATTAAATTTTATTTATTTATTTTTCAAATACCGATCGAAATCGATCAAAATTTTAAATATATAATAAATTTAAAAATCTTCCAGATATATATTTTTTTGTATCGCATACTCCCCAGCTTGAGGTATGATAGCATCACAATATTATATCTTATACTACTAATTAGTACTAGTATATTTATCATTATTATTTTATTGAATTCTAATTCTAAATATAGAATATTAAATCTTATTACTAAGCACAAATTACAACCTTTACTATATTTGTATATTTTTTGTTAGTCCACAGCTGTTGGACTCTATGCATCAAAGCTCAACTTATAAGATGGAAAAGCTCACATCTTTCCGCCGATGTGGGACAAGAGTATAATTTCAAATTCCGACCGAAATCGGTCGGAATTTTTGAAAATTTTTAATAAAAATTATTTTCCCATTTCAGCCATTGTGGGACAAGAGCATAATTTCAAATTCCGACCAAAATCGGTCGGAATTTTTGAAAATTTTTAATAAAAAATTATTTTCCCATGGAAAAACCCACTATTTTTCTTCCCATGAAATATTTATTTAATAATTAATCCATTTTATTATTTGTTTGTTTCTTTCTTTTTTATGAAAAAGTGCATTAAATAAGGATTCCATAAATCAATAAAACATTATTTCAAGTGAATAAAATTATGATTACATTTTAATGTAAAAATATGCTTACTAATTCTAAGTATAGAATATTAAATCTTATTACTAAGGACTAACTACAACCCTTCCTATATTTGCAAATTTTTTGTTAGTCCACACCTGTTGGACTCTATGCATCAAGGCTCAACTTATAAGATGGAAAAGCTCACATCTTTCAGACGATGTGGGACAAGAGTATAATTTCAAATTTCGACCGAAATCGGTTGGAATTTTTTAAAAATTTTAATAAAAATTATTTTTCCATTTCAGCCGTTGTGGGACAAGAGCATAATTTCAAATTCCAACCGAAATCGGTCGGAATTTATTAAAAAATTTAATAAAACATTATTTTCCCATGGAAAACCCCACTATTTTTCTTCCCGTGGAATATTTATTTATTAATTAGTCCATTTTATTATTTGTTTGTTTCTTTCTTTTTTATGAAAAAAAGAGTGCACTAAATAAGGATTCCATAAATCAATAAAAAATTATTTCAAGTGAATAAAATTATGATTACATTTTAATGTAAAAATATGCTTAGTTACTTTTTCCTAAAATTTCATTTATAATCCTGAAATAACACATTTATATAAGATGTATATATAGTATAGTATAGTATATAAGCTATATAAGATGTACATATAGTAATAGTATAGTATAGTGTATATATATATATATATATATATATATATACTATACTATACTATTATTCGATAAGCTATATTCGATAAGCTATATATACATCTTATATAAGCTATATAAGATGTATATATAGTATAGTATAGTATATATACTAAGTGTATAGTATATAAGCTATATTCGATATAATTAAGAGCCTAACCTCGACGAGGCTACATCGGGGTAATTACAATATAACCTGCATACAGTATGTAATAAAGCGAAAAGAAGCACGCGACAAAATGAAACAGTAACTTGAAACAAAAATGAATAGGGAACTCAAATATCTTATCAGTACCCAGCTATAACCAATCCTTAAATGAGGTACAAAACTACAGAATAACTTCACAGCAGAAGAAGAATACATAAACACATAAATTGATGTGGCACGCATCCCGATCCTACCATATAATCAGTAACAATATGAACATTCACCCTTATTACTCCATATCAATCCATCATTATTCCTCCTGTTGCGGCAGCAACCCGATCCCACCGTACAATAGCAATTCACCCTTATTACTCCTCAATATATCACCCTTATTCCTCCTGTTGGGGCGTGCAACCCGATCCCACCATATAATAGCATTTCGCCCTTATTCCTCCTCAATATATCACCCTTATTTCTCCTGTTGCGGCGCACAACCCGATCCCGCCATATCAGTACAAATCACACAATAAGAACAAGATTTTCACAATATAGCTCAAAACTCTCCACAATATTTAAGCCTCAACCAAAGCAAACAGAAAGCTATACAATTATGAAACTTCACTCAATTAATACTACACAGTGAGACCAACCCAAAATGTACCATAAAACACCGATAAACCATCTTAAACCAATAATATGATACAATGAAACTACGGATAGCTAATCTTCAATAATGAAAAACAATGTCTAACAAGTAGCAATTAAATATGGAAATTCCAATAAGCATGTAGTAGTTAAGACAGGAAGACAATATATTAAGAGCGGGGAAAGGAACAAGCAGAACAGATAATTTGGTGGCGCATAGGTACTCGTCACCTCACCTAATTTTCACATAGCAATTAAGTCGGGGATCCCTAATCACTCGAGTCAAAGTTAGACACAACACTTACCTCGATCCACAGGCCATTCACTGCTCAATTACCGTTTTTCCTTTAGTTTCCACCTCCGAACCACTCGTATCTAGCCATAATTAACTTAATAACATCAAATATCGCTAAAGAAATCAATTCCAATACATAAATTTAAAAACATTTCCCCCAAAAAATCAAAAATCGACCCGCTTGGTCAAAACTCGAGGTTCGGCCAAAATCATTCACCCATTCACCCCCGAGCCCGAATATGTAATTAGTTCTGGAATTCGACCCCAAATCGAGGTCTAAATCCCCAATTTATAAACCCTCCCCCCCCCCTCCCCCCCCAAATTCTTCCAAAAATCCCTCATTCTACCATGAAAGAACAAGATTTAGGACTAGAAATCTAATGGGTGATAATAGAAATTGAAGAAAATGAGTTAAAGAACACACACCTATGATTTGGTGTTGAATTCCCTCTTCAACAATCGCCCTAGGTCGAGTTCTAGTGAAAGAGACATGAAATTTTGAACAATTCCCGTGTTGAAGTCTTTTTTAAAAACATTGCTCTTCATCGCATTCGTGGAAGACTTGTCGCGATCGCGATGCACAGGCCTAAGGCCTTCGCATTCGCGAGCCTATCTACGCGTTCGCGTAAGGCAGCTCCCCCACTGGCCTTCGCGTTCGCGACCCAATGGTCGCGTTCACGTAGAAGAGCATGACCCCTCCCCCAGGTCCCATATTCTTACAGGTCACGTTCGTGAAGGGTAACACCACCGTTGCTCCGCGTTCCCGACCTAGTCTACGTGTTCGCATAGAGGAAAACCACCCCCTGCCCAATTTCCCATTCGCGATCGCGAGAGTGGCTTCGCGATCGCATAGGACAAGGCATCAGTACACCAGATGCAGCAACATATAACAGATTTTCTAAGTGTAAATCATCTCGTAGCCTATCCGAAACTCACCTGAGCCCTCGGGGCTCCAAACCAAACATGCACACCAGTCCTAAAATATCATACGAACTTGCTCGTGCGATCAAATTGCCAAAATAACACCTAGAACTACGAATTTAGCACCAAATTGCATGAAATTTTCAAGAAAGTTTTAAAACTTCTATTTCCTCGACCGAAGGTCCTAATCACGTCGAATCAGTTCCGTTTCTCTCCAAATTTCACAGATAAATAAATATCATAACGGACCTGTACCGGGCTCTAGAACTAAAATACGGGCCCGATACCAACAAGATCAAATATTAACCAAATTCTTAAAACCATTATTATTTCAGTCTTTCAATTTTAATCAAAAATTCATATCTTGATCTAGGTACCTCGGAATTCGATTCCGGGCATACGCCCAGGTCCCATATTTTACTACGGACCAAAAGGGACCGTCAGAACATGGGTCCGGGTCAGTTTACTCAAAATGTTGACCAAGTCAACCAAAATCAATATTTTA